AGGGACTCATTCACTCGTACTGCATTTTAAAATACCATTAAAGAAGCAAATCCGGCATGAATCCGAACCATCAGAACCGCCACCATGATGGTGGGCAAGAGCAGCAAGATGCTGCAGCACACTGACTACAGGATGAGGTGCATCCTACAAGATGGCTGGATCTTCATTGGTACCTTCAAGGCTTTCGACAAGCATATGAATTTGATCCTCTGTGACTGTGATGAATACAGGAAGATCAAGCCAAAGAACTTTAAGCAAGCAGAAAGGGAAGAGAAACGGGTCCTCGGCCTGGTGCTGCTTCGAGGGAAGAACCTGGTCTTGATGATAGTAGAAGGACCTCCTCCCAAAGATATCGGCATTGCCCGAGTGCCAGTTGCTGGAGCTGCTGGGGGCCCAGGAATTGGTAGGGCTGCTGGTAGAGGAATCCCAGCTGGTGTTCCCATGCCACAGGCTCCTGCTGGGCCAGTCCATGGGGTTGGTGGGCCATCTCAACAGGTGATGACCTCACAAGGAAGAGGCACTGTTGCAGCTGCTGCCACAGCTAGTATTGCAGGGGCCCTGACCCAGTACCCACCCGTCCGTGGGGGTCCTCCCCCTCCTATGGGGCTAGGGCCACCCCCTCCAGGCATGCAGCCACCCATGAGTTCCCCAGTGGGGATCTCTCCTGGATGAGGGACTCCTATGGGCATGTCCCCTCCAGGGATGCGGCCCCCTCCCCCAGGTATGTGAGGCCTTCTTTGACCTTGGCCGGAGTTACGGAAGTAGTTTGTTATGCTGTTGTTCCCAGTGTCTCATCGGATTGTCTGGTTTCCCTTACAAGGTCCTCTCCCCTGGGAATTCACCCACTGAGGCCCTACACTCATCTTGACCCTCCTCTGGTCCTTGCCTGTTTCCTGTGAGGCTGTATATAGTCCTTTTATTTCTTGTGGCCTATGAAACTGATTTATAATAAACTCTTAAGAGAATAGTATAAATGCACCTGATGTATCCATTTATTTTAGAAAAACTTTGATATATTTGGCGCTTAATAGAGTCAAGAAGGGTTGTCTTTAAAAACTAGCTCTAATTTTAGCTGCTTCCCTGTAAAACACATTTATTCTCATATACTAAGACTTACAAAATGGAACTAATGAGATATTTCCCTCATTAGACTTTCAAAATCAGTTTGTTGAAATAAACGTTCATATGCTCTTGGTTAAAAAAAAATACCATTAAATATATGAATGAGTTTTATTCTTTTGCTTGTTTGAGGTGGGGTCTCCTAATGTAGTCCAGGCTAGCCTTGAACTTGTGAACTTCCTGCCTCAGCCCCCAAATGCTGGGATTACAGGTGTGTGCCACCATGACCAACTAAATATGCGAGTTATGATATTGCTTTCTAATTCACTCTTTTAGGGGGGGGTGCTGGGGATCAGACCCTATGTCTTGCACACAGTAGACAAGCTGTCTGGCACTAAGGCTACATCCCTAGACCTTCTAATTCACTTTTTTTGCGGGGGGGGGGGCAGTTAATACTTCTTATTGACTAAATGCTTACCCTTTCTTTCTTAAACTGTGCTGGGGCAAGGATCATGTGTGAATAGTCTTTGTACCTCCCATGTACCTGCCCTGGTGTCTTTTATAGGGTGGTCTTAGGTAGTAGTAGGTTTATTCATTTGAATCCAAGTTGAATTTGGGGGTCTTTGTCTCTGTCTCTATCTATCTATTTTTTTATTGTATAAAGTAAATAGTGACAATTAATGTGATAGGAAAATATCTCTTCCATTTTCAGAAAGGTTGCTTTTAGAACCTGCCTTCTGAGATTGTCTTGTGTAGCCCAGGGTCATTTGGGGACAGGTTCCTGTAGTTGACCAAACAAAAGACAGTTTCAACTCAGTTGCTTGACCTTTGGCAGTATTCATCCTCCTAGTTTCCTTCATGTGGGCCTCAGGAGTTGTGCAACTCTGGAGAGCTTGACTTAAGTCTGCCTGCTGGATGTGAGGGGGGCAGGGGATGGAACCCAGGGCCTTGCACACGCTGGGCAAGCGCTTTGCACTGAGCTACATCCAAGCCCCCTCAATTTTATTTTTGAGAAAGGGCCTCACTAAGTTGACTGGGCTGGCCTCAAACCTGAGATACCTTAGCTTCCAAGTAGCTGGGATTTCTGGGTGGGCCACCATGCCCAGCCAAGTCTGCCTTCTTGAAATGCAATGGTGGGGCAGTGACTTCTCAAAAGGTGCAGCTTCTTCTCTAGGGATTTTTAAGGAAATTTGTTTCTGAGAGCTCTGTGGTTTCACGAATAGAGCTATAATTCAGGAAGATGAAGAGCCACATACTGAAGGACCACCTTGAGCAGCCCCCCTTTTCAAAGGTATCTTACATTTTTAATTTGTAGAAAACAATATCCATGTCTGAACTGATTGACTTGGGGTGGAAATCTAGGCTATGATTAGTGGGGAAGAGTCAGGACTAAAAAATGTTTTACTATTTTATTCAAAATTCCCATGAGAAACTCTATAACAATCCCCCCACACACACACACCTGTCCTAGGGATCTCTACCTTCCCACCTCTGATGTCTTTATGTCCAAAAGGACATGTACTTCCTGTGGCTCCTCAAAAATTAGGTAATGACCTTCATGCTAGCTTTTTTCAAGTACATGCTTGGAGCGCATGATGTTTGCACTCCTTGTGTTGAGCTGATACATGTACATAACACATCTTCATTGCTTTTTCAGCCCCTTCTGCCCCTCCATCTCTTCATCCCCTCTCATTTGAGAAAGCTCTATCTCCCTACTTCCTGTTTCTATCTTTTGTTTTTAAGGGCAATGGCCAATGGGGTCAGAAGAAGTTCATGATAAAAGCTCAAATTTCCTTATATCGCTTATGACTGGTGAGTCTGCTTCTGTATGGAGAATGCTAATCAGTCTTATCTCAGACTAGGGCGAACATTTCAAAAAGAAAAAAAGGTTATGGACCTGTTAAAAAGGTCTTTCTAGGTCTGATTGTTCCCTACTTTCACAGACCTCTTAGAAAATGACCATGTCCCCAGGCACTGAGGTGCACACCTGTAATCCCAGCACTTGGGAGGCTGACACAGAAGGATTGCCACAAGGTCAAGGCTAGCTGGTTAATAGTGAGTTGAACGCCTGAACTACACAGCAAGACCTTGTCTCAAAAAACTCAAAAACAGAACAACAACAAAAACAAATAAACAAAAAGATGACCACGTCAAATTCACGGTGACTAAGAAACCAGAAAGCGTGAGAATGCCAATTCAGTGAAATTGGGGTTCCCCTCCCTCCGTGTGTGCGCACTACATGCACAAATTTATGAGTCTGTCAATTCAGTTACTGGTCAATGTGCCCCAGCTTAAGGTTGTTGAGGTTTTTTTTGTGGTTGTTGTTTTTGTTGTTGTTGTTGTTAATGGTGGTGGTGGGGGTGCTGGGGAAAGAACCCAGGGGCTCACACACGCTAGACAAACACTCCACTACTAAGCGACATCCCATTCCTGTTTGTTTTTATTTTGAGACAGGACTTACTAAATTGTTAAGTTGCCCAGGCTGGCATGGAACTTATGATCCTCCTGCCTCAGCCTCCTGAGTAGCTGGGACTACAGGTGTGTAACACTGTGCTCAGCTCCATTTTTTTTCAATGCAGCCTTTGGGTGGGGAAACCACATACTGCCTGGACCAGTGATCACCTTTCCCTGATGCATCAAGGAGGGAAAGAACAGGAAAGTGTTCTCGCTAGTGAGCAACCCCTCGAGAGAAGCTGATCACCTTCCCATGGGTGGAGGAAATTATAAGAACACAGATTTGAGGAGAACGCAAAGGCTTCACAGGAAAACCAGACCTGGCATCCAGCTTTAGGAAATGATGCTGACAGATAAGGAACGTTTTCTCTCTGAGCTGCAAGACATCTAATCATCAGTTTAGGGCCAGAGATTTAGCTCAGTGGTTCTGCCACCTGCCTCACAAGCACAAGGTCCTGAGTTCGATCTCCGGTACCCCCCAAAGAAGAGTGCATTGTAGTCATCAGTTTAATATCAATCTCTGGAGCCAGGGATTTAGCTCAGTGGTTCTGCCACCTGCCTTGCAAGCGCAAGTTCCTGAGTTCGATCCCTGGTACCAAACAAATAAAAAAATAAAAAATAAATAAAATCAATCTCTTTAAGGAGTTTTAAAGCCTTTTCCAGCTGGGTGTCTGGTGCCTGCCTGTAATCTCAGCACTCAGGAGGATGGATGGCAGTGAGTTCAAGGCCAGCCTGAACTACATAGTGAGACTCTGTCTCAAAACCCCAAAAAGATTATCTTGGAAAAAACAAAAGAATGTCTGGTTCAGAGAACTCTCACCTGGGAGGCACTCCGGTATCTCACACTGGTGGCTCTGAGTGCTCACACCCGTGGTCCCTGGTGTCCCAGCTTAGCCATCACAAGACCATCATGTAGTGTTGCCCAAAAAAAGTAGTTTTTCTTTTGGTGTTAGAAACCTAAATGCTATCATTAGTAAGCACTGTTTCTATCAATTCACTCTATTTCAAAGATCATTCATTGTCTACATTTAAGAACTCAAATCCCCTTTCTCTACTTCCCCTCCAAAAGAGAAAGTCCATGTACTCTGTGACAAACAGGAAGTAGGGAGCATTGAGGGAGTCCCAGCAAAAGCTGTGTGTCACTGAGCTTGCATCTGCGTGAGTTACACCCCAATTCCAGGCGTGTTAACCTGTGTGCACAGTGGGGACATGTGGGTGTGCACTGCAGACCCAGTGACACTCAAAACACTACCAGAAGAGCTCACCAAGAAATATCTCTGTGGAAATCAGTATTAAAAGAGTTTTAAACAAGATCATTCTGAAAGAGCTCTCACTCTTTCTGACTGTGGAAGCCCCTTGGGGATATAGGTGCTTCCAAACACACTGGGCACTTTGGCAAATGCAGGAAGGGTGGGGCTCAGCATTTGGATGTCACCCTGGATGATGCTCCCTCCAGCCCTGGTGAAGATGTAGCTGCCTCCACTTACCAAACCTCTTCAATGAGCCAAGGGATTGGTGTGCTCTGCTGGGTGACCAGGTGCAAGGGGTCCTTCTAGCTCCTTTGTTCCTCGAGCTGCCAAACAGAAGAGGACACTACTGAGCCAAAGCCCAGAAGGAGGAGCCAGCCGTTAATGAGCCCTGAATGGAAAGGAGCAGAGGGAGAAGACCAAATGTGGTGTTTTGCTATCACCGCATCTTGGTGTGTGTGTAGAAGTACAAGGAAAGCCATATAACTGAGCACTGTAGGAAATTTGCACTGACCCGTATACACATGGAGAAAAGAGGACACATCCTTTTGCCAGTTTGCAAGGATACTCAGGATCATATTAGCTCAATGGCATTCAAGGAAAAGCAAAATCTTACTCTGACAAGGAGGAGGAATGGAAGAGGAAGCTCAGAGGTTCGACCAGCTGCCAAAGCTCAGCTCTGTTATTTGGGAGCTGGGCGATATTGGACATTTAACTCAACTTCTCTGAGCCTCCTTTCTCATCTAATACAGGCCTGAGATTACCCACCTTTTAGACAGCTATAAAGTCCTTGGGGCCTGGCACAGAGGAAATGCTTAGCAAAGAGCAGCTATGATTTTTATATTCACATAGAATTCTTTCTGCAGGGACTGGGGATGTAGCTCAGTAGTAGGGTGCTTGCCTAGCATGCACGAGGCACTGGAAAGACAACAGAGAGAATTCTTTCTGAAGAAGAACACTGAATTATGTATGGACTTTCAAGGTACACAGCAAATGTTCAAAACCATTTTACATATTTTACATGTTCCTTCAAGACCTTTAGGAACCCTTTACAGGTGGACTTTCTGCCCACACAAAACTAATATTCCCTGACTATTCAGCTCCACATTTGAGTAAACCTATTTGACTAGCTAGGCTCTGTATAGCAGATTTTATTATAATGCTATTTCACCAGAAGGGTTCTTACTCCTGCCCCACCAAGAAAGACCACAACCTACCACTTAGGTAAGAAATACTGAGCCATGCAAACTTCTGTTGCAAAGTTCTCCCCAGCGCATTGGCCAAATTAACTAAGGCTGAGCTTCTGATTAACATACCATCCTTGCAGGAACTTTGGCCCACAGAAACTTGGCATTTGACACATTTCTCTGAGTCCAACCTGTGCACAAGTGCCCGTTTCAAGGGTAATAAAGGACCTAGCTGTTTGACTACAGCCCACAAAGGTGGCGCCATGTCATTACACAGCTTTTACCTTGCCCGTCCACCAAACCCTTAGAAAGAAGGTCTGCAGTCCATATGTCAGCTTTTGGGGAGAATAGAATGAAGGAGTATGTATTTCCAACCTGAAAAGTACCACAGTTCTCCCTGGAGTTCTGAAACATTAGTTTCTCAAGAAACACGAATATGGTCCCAAGATCAAAGAGATGAGAAAGGAGATCAGGTGTTTGAGCAGGTGCATATTATGACCATACAGTTTCAGCCTCAGCGAACAAACTGCTCTCCCTGGTGGTTCTGGGCTTCCCTTTATTGACATGTTATAAAACAGGAAACAGACATAAGGAAGAAACCACAGAGCTTGAGAGCTCTTGTCCCTGCCTATTATGGGATACTCAGTGTCCTCACCCAGCCAGTCATACGCCAACATCCTAATCCTCAGTCTCCAAGTTGGAGACTTGGTTTCTCTCTCTCTCTCCCCCCCCCCTTTCTTTCATAAATTTTATTTTATTTTATCTCATTCCCTCCTATATATAAAAGCTTTGTTTCCATTTCTTCCTTCTGTTTTCACTGTTTTTCTTGTCCCTTCCTTCCTTTCTCCTCCCTCTTCCCTTGTTGCCCTTCCCATCTAAACACTTTCTTCCCATTTCCCAACATCCATTATACATTTCAGTCCTTATTTATACTTTCGGTTTCTCACACCAGAGACACAATGAGGTATTTAAACATGTGTGTCTGATTTATTTCACTTAAGAGTATATGGAAACAAGGTCTTTGAAGAGGTGCTGAAGGCTACATGAGATCACTTCCCGGGGCCTCAGTATAACATGGCAGGTGTCCTTATTGGAAGAGGTCGGAACACAGACTGAAGGGCAGCCGTATGAAGACACAATGAAGAAATGGCCTCTACCAGCCTAGGGGAGAGGCCTCAGGAGAAGTCAGACCTGCTGAGACCACCACAAATGAGAGAAAATAAACTTGTGTTGTTGAAGCCACCCATGCAAAATATGGCCATGCCTTGATTGTGTTGATGGCCCCTTCAGTCTGCAATCCCTGGGCTGAGCCAGTACAGTTTAACACTCAAAAACAGCCACCACTCATGCTTGCAGTAAATATACTAGTTGAACACATACTACAAGATGTGGCCAATGTCAGGCACTGGGAACAGCAGCAGTGGATAAAATGGATGTGTTTTCTGCTTTCACTGTTCTTAGTGTCTGGGTGAAGGGTCCAGGCAAGCTAGAAATACCAAATTGAAAAGACAAACTCATGGTGGTGCCTGTAATCCTCGCACCCCGGGATGCTGAGGACAGAAAGATAAGTTGTTTTTTGGGGGGGATTTTTGGTACCGAAAAATCAAACTCGGGACCTTGCGCTTGCAAGACAGGCGCTGGAACCACTGAGCTAAATCCCTGGCCCGAGAAAGATAAGTTTGAGACCAGACTGGGCAATTGAGCAAGACCCTGTCTCAAAAATTAATAGACGGGCATGGTGCTTCATGCTTGTAATTCCAGCACTCAGGAGGCGGAAGCAAAAGCAGGAGAATCACCTGGGGAAGAGTGAAGAGTAGGAAGAAGATGATCCCACATCTGCCTGGCTAATCAAGGAAGAGGTGAGCCAAGTTCTGGAGGATGAGCAAGTCTGCCCCACAGACCCGCATGAAGAATGAGAACAGGACATTTTCCAGACACAAAGAACAGCCAGTACCTGGGCACAGGGACACCAAGAGCATAGCACCTTGGAAGAATGACACTGGTTAGGCCCAGCCAGACTGGGGGTGGGCAGGGGAGGGCAGCAGAACTTGTCCCTGGGATAAGCACAAGCCAGGAGTCCACGTCTGATTGCACAGGGAACCCCTGGGGAATTTTAATCAGGAAGGCAGTGCTCCCAGAACTGCTCACTAACAAGAGCACTAGGACCGCTGTGCAGTGAAGGCTTCAGGCAAGATGACCTGTCGGAAGATGCAGGCGGCAGCCACAGAAACAGGCCCAGAAGGACTCATCCACAGCCATGGCGACAGGCCTGAGGGGCTGTGCTCATGGACAGCCCTTGGCTTTTTAGCATGGGAGTAATTTGATCAATGAGAAAATGCATTTCTCAAGAAACTTAATTCTACTTTCCCATCAGAAAACTAACCTCACTTTTTCTTTTTACATATTAGTATCACATGTGACTGTTTCTCAGTTTCCTCATATTTTCCTCAATTTATAAAGTTGCTTAATAATAACACCTTCTTCCCAGGATACCTTGAGTTAACTAGGGCTAGTACGTAAGCCCAATAAATGTTAATTAAAGCAGAAATAAATAGTAAAGAACAAATGAGAAATTAACAATTGTCCAATTAGTGGCAGTTCTCCTCAGCGAATAGGAGCCAGAATCAAACAGCAAATACAGCCACAAAAGGTAAAAACCTATGGGATTTTCTGGGGATGAAGTTCGGTTTGATCGAGGTCTCTTCAGACCTCTCACACAGCTGCCTATGAAGAGGCCAAGCTGTCTATCTGTACGTGGATTTCAGGAGGACTTGGAGGGAGACCAATTGCACACAAACACAAGAACTTTCTAGAGAGATGGAAATTTCTAGCTCTTGCTTAGGGCAGGGATTCCACATCATATATAATTGTTCACAGTCATCATTAAAAATGTGTGAAATTTCTTATATGCAAATTATACATAGATAAAGATGGAAGGGAGGAAAGGAAGATTCAAGGGGTAACAGAACTGGGCATGGTGGTACAATCCCAGCACTTTGTGAGGCTGAGGCAGGAGAGCTGACAGTTCGAGTCCAGCCTGGGCAATTTAGCAACTTAGGAGCACTGTCTCAAAAAGGGGGTGGAGGATATATATATATATATGCTGGGAATGTCCCTAGGTTCAATCCCCAGTACTACTTAAAACGGAGGGAAGTATTTATATTTCTAAGAGAAGAGGTGAATATTTGCATGAGAGAACTTGTCTTAAAAACATTCAGTTTCCAAACTCACCCTCTCTTAAAATGGTTAAAGCTTGTTAGGAATGCAAAAAAGCCTTTTTATGCAAGAAACGCTTTTGAAGCTGTCTGAAGTCTTCCCCCTCATGTTCTCCGTCCATAGGACAGCACTCTTCCACCCCTGGACTCACGGGACAAGCTGCCTTCTTGTGGCTTGTATACATCTCTATTTCCTGAGCACAGTGGGGGCAGTTAGGGAGCTGGGGGGATAGACCTGAGAGCTGCCAGGGACTGAGAGAGCAGGCCTGCCTGCTGCTCTGCAGGGCACGTGCACCCCATGGACTGGGCCCTTCAAGAAAGGTGGCTGGAGGCTGACAAACTCCCAAGCTATTCAATGTCCATGTAAACTGCTGCTTCATGTGGATGCACTTTAGTACCTACTTTCCTGATGCAGTTCTAGTGAGAAGCAAGCAAATATCTCATGAGGTCAGGGCCAACAAAGTGGAACTGCACATTCCGATTCTGCCATCTGTGAATATTACTCACTATTCCCAGGAATCTTTGTACCAAGAAAGAAAATGAAAAACCAAACCGTACCCAATGCTGTTTTTAAAATGAACACTGGCATGCAAGATCCAGGTGTTTTATAAGATATTTAGCATTAGTTGAGGAACAGAGGGAAGGTGAAAGTAGAGAAGAAAGAAGAGAACCAAAAAGAACCTTTTCAAAAGACGCACTGAAAGAAGACAAAAGATGACATAAGCAGCTTTCTCTTTAGAAAACAGTCTGTCTTCACATAAGACCTTTTTAAGGAAAATGTAAAATCCCCAGGAGTTATTAGAAGATAAGGCTATTCCCCAGCAGATGCTGTATTTCCCCTGCTGAAATGGTAAAATTCATCTAGTTCAGTTCGTGCACTAGTATGAGGCTGAACTAAACCAATTTACACCCAGATTAGCTTAC